CCCAACATCTGGTGAAAATTTCATGTCATTAGCACCTCTGGTAATATATTTACTGAGAAAAATGGTGATGTGTTCAATACTTCTTTTACCTGGTGTTTATATGCAAAGAAGCTGGAGAACCTAATGGTGTTAAAACATCTATATGTTAATAACAATGAAGGTATAATCAAAAAGGGCTCAAAAGAACACTTAGTGTTCACTTTAGTTTTCCAWTTATGCTTCTTCACAGTCTTTCCTCAATCAATGTGTCAATCATAAGCAGCTCTGAAAGCCTGCATCAGTCAGAACGACACTTAAAGGCTTTTGGGTGTAAAGTGTGAGCGCTGGTGTGTTTACTGATACACGCAGAGGATGTGTCCTCACYACATTGTTGAACCCTGACAGTTCAGCAATGAGAGAAATGGAGGTAAAAAGCAAGGCTGGATGATTATTTCTGTTTAAAGAACAGCGAGGGTGTGTTCAGTTTGTATGTGTGTGTGTGTGTGTGTGTGTGTGTGTGTGTGTGTGTGTGTGTGTGTGTGTTGTCCTAGTGTGCAGCTGCAGTGGTGATGTCTGGTACTTTCCACATCCAGGGCTGATAAATTACTTGCAGATGAATGTCCTGTGTTGTTTTGTAATTTCTTTTAGCGTGTGTGTTTTAGATATATGTCTGTTTTATTATCACATCACACCCAAGTCTCTGGTTTCTGTTACGTCCTGAACCACTTAATTTGTAAACGAGATTACTTCATAAATTACGAGCTGCAGGAAGTCCAGATGTTGAACGGTTGTGGACAAAACTTCGAGGGAACTCTCAGGATTTTATGACTCATATAGGGGTCTAAAGACTTCTGAAAAGGGGGTGAAATTAGAAAAAATTACACGATCTGATCAAACAGTTATTGTGAATGTTTTAAATCTTTTGGCCTAATTACAATAAAATATCAACTTTGTCTTGATAGRTCAATGTCTCTTAACTTGAATTATTTTTACCTTAAGTAAAGTACGTAAAAGTTTATTTATATAGCACCTTTCACAGACATAGATGGTCACAAAGTGCTTTACAAAGGTGCAAAGTTATACAGCAAGATAAAACAATAAAACATCAGCAAAAACATAAAAACATTAGCTAAGAAACAAGAAATGCTTTTATTTTATTTATTCATTTATTCTTTTTGTAAAATTTGAACTTTAGTATGTTTTTCCCAGATTTATGGCGCTCACAAGGAGACATTGGAGGACTTGTTTCTTTTGTGTTCCCACACAATATTTTTGCTGTACCTCACAATACTTCGGCTTTACCTCGAAAAAMTCATTTATTACTGTTTTATACTTTATAAACAAATCCACATGCTCACCATTGTACAGGAATTACTCAGTTTTGGAATGAACAAATCACAGCTACGCATGGAGTTATATGTAAAATGCAGATAATTTAACTCTAACCTGTTATATCACCATCAATTTCCAATTTCTCCAGCTTGTGGTGACACAACTTGTTTTGGTAACTGGATATTTCAAAATAAATGATTCAATACAGTTAAAACAAAACATTTTGCATGAGAATGCAATTATTTCTATCATGTTTTTTCTTTGTCTCTTCCAGAAGAAGGTGAACCTGGACCAGTTCTTCTGTGTTTGTCTGTGTCTCTTTCCTGTCCTCCAACCAGCCGGTCGAGGCAGATGGTCTCCTGTCCTGAGCCTGGTTCTGCTGGAGGTTTCTTCCTGATTAGCAGGGAGTTTTTCCTCTCCACTGTTTGCTCAGGATGGGAAACTGTGATGAAGTGATTCAACACAATCTGCTGGTTTCTTCTTTAGATTGTTCTATTTATGTACAGTGCCCTGAGACAACGAATGTTGTGACTTGGCGCTATATAAATAAACTTGAACTTGAACTTGAACTTGAATGCATAAAAAAAGAATGTCCCCTTGCAAGCTCCAGATTTGATGCACAATGTGAATGAAATATTCATGAGATGT